GCACAAGAAAGAAAAACATCAACTGCAGCTTCGGAATCATAAACGTGTTTCGGAAATGACTTTTGTCGAAAAAATCGTTTGTTGATTGGGAATAAGAGTCAAATTCTCATATCTCTTTGCCAATTTTCTACATACCATAGAAAATGTTCCACAATTTTCAAAAAAAAACTATTTGTTTATGTAATATTTATACATTTTAAATTGATGGTGCCTAGTTTCTATCTAGTCATTGCTCCTAGCTATCTATGTAATAATCCAGCTATCTAGCTATGCCATCTACCTACCTAGCTAGCTGTCTATCTACCTGAAATACACACATTTGCTTTGGTATCCATATAGCTCCCATTTTTTTTGCTGTGCCTGCCACACTGAAGTGCTGTGCCTGCCACTTGACTTGCCCTTGCAGATTTGGGGAAGGCCAGCAAGACTGATGACTGGCACTTGCAAGTCAGGTGCTTTGCATGATGCAGCAAGCCAAGCTTTTGATGACTGGCACTTGCAAGTCATTGTGCTTGGCATGATGCAGCAAGCCATGCTTTTGACGACTGGCACTTGCAAGTCGTTGTGCTTGGCATGATGCAGCAAGCCATGCTTTTGATGACTGATAGCACTTTCCAGTTGGGTGCCTTGTGGCCCTTGATGGAGGCCAAATGTCTTGAAACTAGGTCTAAAAGCCATGGATGTTACATGTCAGCTCAAACGGGCAATCTTTTGCCTTGGTGATGTCGTGAGGTCGATGTCGAGGTTGTAGATGGTGTCTCATGAGGCACCCAGCACGAATCTCCGAGTCGTCGTGGTAGTTCGTTGTGTCCAGCTGGAAGTAGCCTTCTTCATCGACACTCCAACCTTCTGGCAAGTCGTCACCACCAATGTTAGAGACCGTGAAGGCTTGGCCAAAGAGTTCGGAAGCAGGGTCATGTTGACCTGGATGTGGTCAGCAGCAGGGGCAGTCGAATCATATGGAGCTTGTCGTTGGGCTGCCCGACGTCGCATTGGTCCAAAGCGGCTAAACTGCAGTGATTCCTGTTGATCCATTTGCTGTCGACGTTGTCTGAAGTGAGGGGCTGTGGCAGGCTCATAGAGGTGCAAGTTGGATGAAGTCACACCGAAGGGATCAGCTGGAGGTGCAACGTACTGCATCAGCTGGCGTACTTGGAGCTGTTGCCACAGTCGGAGGCCCTTGGTTGGGGTCAGCCTCGTCAATGGCGATCACCGCTTGTCCAGGTAGAGCAGCAGGTCGTGCTTGACCAGGGAACTCAGGGTGCTCCGTGTCCGTTGGAGACGTTGGAGCCAAGCTGGGCTCGCAGGACTGATCCATCTGCTCTTCAATCTCCTCCAGGGTAAGCTCTCGTTGCGGGGCCATGTCATAGGTGGTGCGCTGTCGCCTTGCAGGAGGCTGCATGTCATCACAGCATCATCCTCATCTGGCTCAGATCCAGAGGCGATCTCATCTTCATTGAAGTCATCTGGATGATGTCGCTTGTTGACCTTGTTGAGGTCCAAGAAGCGTGTGAGGATGCCACCTCTCGTCGGGCTTCCTGAGCATCAGCCAATTGAGTGTCAGCTGCAGTGAAGTCGGCACGCACGTGGTGCGGTGAGCATCTGATGAGCTGAGTCTTGTAGGACAGCCCAATAGAGCTCGGGCTTGTCATCCTTGGACTATTCGACCATATCACAATCCGGGCTGGGCCATGCCAACGGATCTTGACCAATCGGTCTTGGCAGTAAAGCCCGTCGGAGAGCTGTGATCAGTGCCTTCTTAGAAGTTGTTCGAATTGATCGTGGTCTCCAAGGTGTGCAGGGCTGAGTCCATCTTGGGCAAGTCCACCTGGCAGTCGAGGCATCTTTCCAAGAAGCCACTGTGAAGGCGTGTAGCCGGCCACACTCACGGTGTCATTGAGTTGAGGCACCACGTAGGTCAGCGCTTGGCGAATGCCAGAGGGGCCAAAAACCTTCATGTCGTCCATGTAAATCTCAATGGCACGGCGCAAGGATGTGTCAGCGCTCCACAAGTGCCAGCCGATGTGCCACTATGTGCTCCACAGAGTGTTGGGTGGTCCATGCATTCATCTCTTCTCCAGCCCAACCACGCCCTTCATCGGAGCAAAGGCATTGGGGAAGCCGAGAATGCCGAATCCAGGCTCTTTCTAGACCTTGGATGAGATGGTCGCTACGTTCTCCATGAAGTAGTGCCGCCGCAGTGTGCTTGGTGGCCGGTGGCCTGGTCGATGACACTGAGAACGGGGAACTTCATGGCACTGGTGTTGCATGTGATCCACAGCACATCGGCCTGCAAGCGTTCACCAACTTCGTGGGCTTGAGGTCGCAAGGTAGAAGGTGCCACTTGGTTTGGTCGCTTGTGGCGCAGGCATGCAGTGCATTGGAAGTGGCGAGCTGCCTCAATGACTTGATCACTGGCTCCTCGGCTTTGAAGTAAGTCAACAGGGCCTCGGGCTTTGGATGTCCAAGGTTTCTGTGTAAGCGCTGCACTGTGCGAACTGCTTCGGTCTTGAGAGCTGTCTGGAGCTTGACAAGACATCCAGTTACCTCCTTCTGCTCAGAGACTGCAAGTCCATAGCCCCAGAGTTAAGCAGGATCGGGGGCACAAATGGCAACTGCAATCGTGGCTGCAAGACCAGGCTGGTAGTCCTCAAGGTAGGAAGTGCGATGGCCAAGTCCAGGTGCCGAGCCTTCCAAGGGACAATGAGCATGCTGCCCATCACATTGCTTCGACAACGCAGCCTGCATGGAGACCTTTCTTGAAAGGATGGCTGTGGGCTTCTTCGCAAGTTTCCACCATCCATCTTGGTCCAACCGGCCATTGGATTGTTTTCCAGGCAAGTCCTTGAAGGCTGTTTCTTGCCAGCTCAGGGCTCGTTCAGGCTGTTCGATGCGGGCGTGTCGAGCGTTGTCAACCTGCTCCTTGTAGACCTGTGCCACAAACATCAGATGGCAGCCATGGAGCTCCTTCCGCTTCAGGTAGAGCTTGTTCTGCTGGACATTAGTCCTTGCAGCGAGATTTTGCATCTGGCTCCAGAGATGGCAGGACGGCGCCAGGAAGTCTGTGAATGAAGTGGTCCTGGTGCTCCTGCAGATCAAAATCCCAGCCAGTCTCATAGCTGAAAATCTCAACATCCATGCACATTGCCTCTGCGAGAGCTGAGACGCGTGCTCCACCACAGTAAACTTCCCAGAGCACTCGCTTGCGTTCAGGTTGGTGCAGCTCTTCAGTGATGTAGGCCTGGAGCTCATTCTCAAGGAGGTCTGGAGCAAATGGCGTCGCATCGGACGCAGTTCATCTTGGGCAGCAGCTTGAACATCCTAGAGAATGATTCGTACCAGATTATCTGGTACATGCTTGATTTGATCAAGATTGGGGCCGATGTGGTACAAATAGGGATTTTGGTATTTTTCACGGTTTTTCTCGGTTTCTCGGTTTGAGGCCCTTGCCATCAACCCAAGAGTGCAAAGAAGTGAGCTACAATGGTCAACAGTGGTTGCTGTTGCAATAAGGACCTTGCTACATCAGTGCAAAGTGCAAAGAAGTGAGCTACAATGGTCAACATCATTGCTGTTGCCATCAATACAGCGCATTGGCTCAAAAAGAAAACTCAGCTGGCATATTTGCAGAGACCCGTACACGTGCACACGAAACCATATATATATATAAATACATCTATATGTATATATTCACATATATATATAAATATAAAAAAACAATACACGTATAATATGGGATCAAAGGTTAAACAAAAACTTATTAAACATATAAGCATTATACTGCACATGGTAATGGGTGGCTTCAAAAATGCGACAACAAGACACCAACGATCCAAGAACCTATGAAAATCAATATATTATGGGTTTAAAAGGGTAGCCTACCAATTTTCATGGATTTTGCTTTGGAAACGTTTCAGGTGCGCAGGTTCCCCTTTTTTCCAACTCCACCAGCACATGTTCAAGTTTAGGCTTGAGGCCCAAAAGCCACCTCCTGATACAGTGATCAGTTGCACGCAAGCGATGTGTGTGTTTTTTCACTTTCATCGTTCTTTTTACTGCATCCTCATCCATCCATGTCGCACTAAAGTGAGGGTTCCAGATTGAATCTGAAATGATCAGGTGATGCAATAAGTGAAACTTCGGCCGTATTTTCCATAGTCGAACTTGATCTGAAAGAGCCTGTACGGCCAACTTCAAATATGTTCGAACAAACAACGTTCCCACCACCTGCACATGTAGTTTTTCCTCTGGTTGCAAAAACATATCACTCGACATCCAGCAACCCATCAGCGAATTGGCTGCCCACACCACTGTTTTCACATCGTCCGGAATTGGACGGCTAGCAAAACCATCACCATGGTGTTGAAGTAGATAGTCCAGCCACGCCACCATGATGTACGTATCATACCCCTTGCACCGAGTCTCAGGGTACTGGTCGCTTCTCCAGGTTAGGTTTGCATGTGTGAGGCGTTTGATATGTAGGCTCAGCTTCCGCGATTTGGCATATTGCCTCAACGAACTTGAAGCAGCAGCTAACTGGTCCGCGAGGTTGCCCCCCCGACGAAAAAATTTTGCTTTGGCCAAAACTCGAAGAATGGAGGCTGTCAGGTCTCTCCCCACACCTAAATGCCATACATGCAACAAATCGACTTGCAACATGCCGATGCTGAAGCCCGGTAGCTTTGAAAACTCCGGTGGGGTTGTCCATGGGTTTGGACTTTCGCACGTCCTCCACCCTGCATCGTCCGCCAGGTTTGTGTAGGCAAAAGACAGGTCAGATGAGCCCTTGCTCGCCAAGCACTTCCAGCAAATCTGCAGGGCATAGATCAAAGATATGAATGAAACTAACATACTAACGAAACATTTGATGCAGTATAGACCATTTTCAAAAGAATCTTTTGGGTTTGTTTTCATATTTTCCAGCCTGTTCTGTACTTGGGTTTCTATCCAAATTGAAGAGCTGGCCAATGTACTTCCAATCACCTTTGAAGCTACAAACGTAGACATCAAACTCCAGCACCTCAAGCAATGGCTGCAGCAACGCAGACTGTAACGTTGCTGAGGCTGGGGGTTTGGGATTCATCCTACTTGGAAAATAGAAAAGGTTCATAAACATTAAAAGGCCAAGAGACAGGTTCAGGACCCCTATATGGGACTGTCAGTTTGAGGTTCGCCAAAGAAGTGGATATATGTTTGGCTGCACATTGGAGTGTAATGTTGATATCACCATCAAAGACATATGCAGAGCTGGGTATCGTTGTAATGACAAATCTACTTGACCCGCTGTCACTCAACATAGGGGCCAGATCACATTGCCAGTGAAACATCATGTAGTTTCCTCCCAGAGCTTGACCCTCGTCACCTCGATTCCAAAGTAAGGAAAGCAAGGAAAATGTTTTCTCTGACCAAATATGTTTTTTGATGGCAAAAAGACAAATTTTGCTTGTCTCAATTCAGGCACCATAAAGTGTGATTGGTAACGAACGCTCCCAGTTTCCAGCTGCAGGATGTTGTGGGTAATCCAATAGAAAACGGCTCCAGTAGTCAGAGAGCTTATCCAAGTTGACCAATGCTTCCAGGAAGCCTTCGTCCAGCAATGCTTGGGCCTGATGCGATCTGGGTGACATCCCCAGAATTGGATGGGACTGGTGGCTGGCAATTCGTTGGGATGTCAGCTTTAAAAAAATATAAACCAAGTCAAGTGTCCATGTCACTGGGAAGCAGAAATGGCCACTGCTTTACTTCCAAAACAGGGGTTCCATGATCGTCATGGCCAACACACAAGGGTAGCTCCAGGTAGGTGATCTTGCAAGGAAACGTAAGGCCAGCCCTTTGGGCAGCTTCATGCATAGGCCGCTCATTGGTCTCCGTAGGACTTAGTGGCAAGATGCAAACATACACAGAGATTTTGTTTATATAATCCATATATCAGATCTATCTATCGGTAATAGAGTTTTGGGGGTTAATATGGGTAAACTTTGCCCATCATATCATAGTTTTGGGACAAAGAAAAAACATTGGGGAAACAAACATTTAAGTCACTCAATTTGACAGAGGATCTTTTTGAATACCTCAGAGTTGAAAAGGCTTCCAACTTGTCGGGCGTGCTTCGCTGTGGAATTGCCAGTTCCAACACCAGATGCTAGCCTTAATTCACCGATGGCCCAACATATATATATATATATATGGTCTATTATATGTAATTATATATATAGAGCTTGTGGAATATATATATATACATTGTAGATGTATTATGATTATAAATGTATATATATAACTGGCCACCACACAAAAAAAAAAAAAAAACAAAACAAATAAGTAATTCAGGATCCATCTTCCACCAAGTAGCAACAAATCAAGGCTTGCAACCTCTCCTGTTCGACTTGATGATGCAGCACCTGCGCGGGTCGGGTCACACAGATTTTGGGCCCCCAATGGTATTGAGGGAATTTGATTTGCAGATGCTGGACCATCACATTTGGTTGACCCCTTTTTGTTCCACAGCGATGCCAACCGTCGATCCCAGCGCAACCCGCACATATATATGTGCATGGGTTCTAGCTATATAGCCAGTCCTCCCTGATCCATTTATGCAAACAAAAGCTGCGACATGTTGTGAAAATGATCCAAGATTTTTTGGGTGCATCCAGGACCAGGACCAGACTAAGCCTCAACCCCTTAAGTGCCAACGCGATTTTCAAAGCTGTGTATCTAAATTGCGGCTTTTGTTTGGCCACAGCTTGTCATCAAAATTTGGATTGTATGGGTAAACCCACAAGCCAATTCCCTGCCACTAAACCCGATAATCCCACCAAAAACAGGTGATTTTGAAATGGCATGATGGATCGATGAACCATTCCCATACAAATAGATATAGTGAAAATACCTGAAGTGTTTTGATTTGTTTGAGGGACAAGTCTAGGCGGCAAGGTTCTAATGGCATCACACCCAAAACGCAGCAGGAGTTTTAAGACATTGGATTGGTCGCCCTGAGCGCCCACAAGGAAATAGGCACAGAAATGACATAGAATTGTGTTATATTCCCCATTAATTCTCATTTGATTGGGGGTTGGTTGGGATATGTTGGGATAATATACCTTCAGGGCGTCTATCAGGCCAGCCAAATCTCAAAAGAACACTCCATCCAGCATGTCAGCTATTTCAGGCCGATGATGCTGACTGCTTCCTGAACTCGGTGAGGACAGCACGGGCTTGCGCTTTCACCAGCCGAAGCTTCTTCACCTCCGAATGGCAGCCCAACCAGTTGTGAACTCATGAAGTGTTTTTTTAATGGTGGTAATCCAACCAGTTGAATGGAATTCACACCCAACCTCTTCCTCAACTTCTTCCTTCATGTCATTGGAGTTGGCCACAGAATCCAAGGATTTGATCCTTAAGCATCAGTTCAAAGGGAGGGAACGAAATCTTTTGAAATAAATCCACAACTCATGGATTTTGAGCTGTTGCCAGTTTAAACGCAGAAGTTGCAACAACAAACGAATGATCCAAGAAACTCATCCAAGTACTCTTCAATGCGGGTCTTGTAAGTCTGCAAGGTCACCCGCAGATTGTTCTTGGCGGGAAGTTCCAAAGCCAAATTGGTCACCGATGTGAGCTCTCTCTTCAACAGAGTACCTGAGTTTACATGGTGATGAAACATATGGCAATTCCGAACCACCAGGGAAAATTCATGGTATGACTGTGAATGAATTCAGATAAGAAACAAATTTCCGATTTGATCTCATCAGCAGTCTTGGCAGTGACTTCAGTCACACCTGCAGGACTGCACTGTGGCTTCGCTTTGGCCTTCTTCTTTGGACGCGCCTTTGCTTTGGCAGTGGCATCCACAGCTTGTCCTGCACAGGGGATAACCATCAAATAACCGTAAATCTACCTGTTAATTTCGTGGACACCCCTTTTAGTTCTTAATGTTTGCTGAAGCAATCCAGTATAATCCATTCCAAGATTGAATAACTGGATGCATGTTGAACACACAAACATAATATGCATGCATGCAAACATATATGAATATATATTTATAATATAGTAACATATGATAATATTTATATAACCACATGTCATAATATATATATGTATGTCAATGTATGTATGTATGTATGTATTTATGTATGTATGTATGTATGTATGCATACATGTGCATATATATATATGTATTAATTATATGTGCATTCCATCATATATCAAAACTGCTGAATCCACAGGTAAAACCTGCTGGGAAAGTCAGCCAACAAAAAATGACAGTCCTGCCAGTGCGGTAGTGGAGTCACTGCTAAGTCCACCAAGAAGGGCTTGCACACGGTCAGCACCAATGCTAGACGTAGCTGCACCACCCAAAGAGCCGAAGACAGTATCCAGGCCAGCCGAAGCATCTGCCTGGACACGGACCCGAGCCTCCTGCTTGTACTCATCAGTGTCCACCTGTTTTACCCCCGTTGACACCCAAAAGCGGGTGAGCGAAGGGATATCTGGGCAATCGCTGTCAGGAACTCCGTTGCCTCGAGCAACGATAGCACGCACCTTCTCGATAGGTATGTCACGCTTCAACATCTCCTGGGTTGTTAAAAGCTCCCTGGTCCCCTGGTGTTTTTTGGACTGGGTCTTCGACAGGACGAGGTCTGCCTCGATCGTGTCAGCGTTTCCATTGCTGGCAACCCATTGCTGAAGGAGTCGTTTCCGGTCCTTAGTTTTTGCTAAGGAACCAAATGCACAATTGTATAGCATCTTTAATGCATCTTTATTTTGCCCAAAAAAAACAGCAGCAAAAAAAAAGTAGAAAAGTTCAGCATCAATTCCATTCCAAGACTCGGCCATGCTACCACTCCACATCTCCACCATGTGGGGGAACTTTTGGGCATCTGGACTTTCCTCCATCAGGCGTTTCAAGCGCATACCCTCTTTTTTGTGCGTCACCCAATTCACCTCCACTTTCGGAGCTGTCACATGCAGGGCTTCAAGGGCACCAGGAGTGCGAAGTGTCTCCTGTGCATGCTGCACAGACCGCACCTGCTGCGCAGCTTCACGCTGCTTCTGCTGCTGCATAAGCGCCTGGAGCCCAGCCAGTTCCAGAGATCGATCTGGTGGTCCTGCAGCACTTGCAGGCTCTGCCATCGGCACATCTGGAACAGCGGGAACGGCAGCTGTAGCATCAGCCACTGCAGCAGGGGCCTCGGATGGCACCATAACAGCATCTTGATCTGGATCTCGAGGGGCCACAGCGGCTTCAGAAGGGGCCATGGGAGGCACTGAAACCTGGTGATGTTCTGCAGTGGCCATGGCCATCGAAACATCAGCATGAGGTTTCTCTGGGACCTCAGGCTGTGGGGCATCCGCAATCTCCTGCTGATCTTCCTCTGATAGCATGGCTCCATCGATAGTCTCTTCGGGCACAGTGCGAGCAGGAGAGGCAAACTTCTCGTCATTCCTGTATTCACTCTGAGCATCTTGTGGAACTTCTGCAGCCTGCATGGTTCCAAACCTGTTTTTTTTTTTTACAAAAATACATTGTAAAAACATGTTTTTTTGAACCAGAGCCTCACCAGTAGAGCTGGGAACAGACAATGGCTTGGCTCTGCGCAGGACCCGTTCGGGCTCAGAGCTCCCAGCGGTCATCGAGATCTGCTGAGCTTCCATCTCCTTGATTTTTTTCAACGCTTCTTCTAGCTGGATCCTCACAGTGGCTGGGGAGTCACCATGCTCGGGCTGGGCAGCGCCACCAAGCCTTAGTTAAAGAAAACAACAGGTGATCAAGCCTGAGCTACTCCAGGACATGCAGGACATTCGCATGGAACCACAAAGCAAACAGAGCATGCGTACTTATAGCACATCAACTATATATACACATGTTTTGATGTATGTATGTATATATATATATACACATTGTATCCAAATCTATGTGATATGTATGTGTATGTGTATAAATATATATACATTCTATCCCTTAAAATGCGTACATATGGCTGATCAACAGCATGCAAAAACCTGCATGGTGCCTATAACTATTTTTAACCAAGGAACGGCAGGGTACTCGCTTGTGAAAGGGAATCAAGATCCTTGTTGCGTTTATCCATCGGCTCGAGTCGATCGATCAAGTCAAGGCCGTGTTGCAAAGTATTGCACGACCTCAGATGTTGTGCTGGACATTCACCACACAAATAATGGTAAAGAGTTCGTACATGCATGCTAGCTCCCAATGAAGCAACAGGAGAAAACTTCGAAAGGGATTTGGTAAGTAATATTAGTACCCAGCGGGTTGCATATATGTGTCAATAGCCCCCAACGAGATATATATACATATATATTTGATGAGATATGATGAGGAAACTGTGTGTATCTTGGGATGTTGCAGTACACAACGATGATTTCGTATATAGGTTTTATTCCCACTACTGCATATATATATATATAATTATATATATGTTAGATTATATATATATATTATAGAGTTTAGAGTGAATTTGGGAGAGAGAGATATATATATATATATATGCTGTATATAACATATATATATATATGGCTCCCAACTAACACAATAATGAAGCCATGGTACCACAAAGTGCTTGGTTGGGACTCAGTTGGCTCCTGGGACTCAGCAATCTCCTTTCGAGGCTGGACCGGAGCATCCTTTGGACATGGAACTTCAGGAGCTAGGGCCCCAGTAGCTTCTGGCTGCTTGGTGGCCGACTCGCTTGGGGTCTTGGGCACATCCCCTGGCTTCGGCACGGGCATGATCTCGTCAACTGGTGGTTCAGCCATGGGTGGCTTGCGTGTGCGGGTGACTGATCCGCTTGGTGCTGGTTCCACCTCTTGATCATATTCTTTTTCTTCCTCTTCTCCCTGTTCCTGGTCTTGGTGCACTTCTTCAGGTTCAACACGGGCCACTGCGGCCGGTCTCTTCATACCTCTGACTCGGGTTGATCTGGCCTTGGGTTTGGCCACGGTCTTGCTCTTTTTTTTCACAGGTTTGGTAGTCGAGGGTTTCTTGGTCTTGGTCTTGGTCTTTTCGGCCTTCGAGCGGGGTTTCTTCGGCTTGTTCTTCTCAGGGCATTCCTTCTTTTTCCCCTTAACCATCTTCTCTGACTTCTCCAAGGCATCACTATCCACATCCTCAGATGACACGTTTTTTTACACATATATATGTTATATAAATACATAATATGGATATTTAAAACCAAGAATTTATGTTCGGGTACAAAAAAATGTGTGAAAACAATGCAATATCAGAGATATGGATGAATCAAGTCAAAGTACATCTGGTTTTTCACCCAGCACATGAACCATGATGGTGAAGGTTTCTGCCTTCGTCAATTTGAGATGTTTTCGAACTGCTGGGAACTTCGTCCAATCCAGTTCTGAAATTGGGAAAGGTAAATCCTTGAGGGACATGGCGCCAAATGAAATCCAAACCTAGCCACCTCCAAGCCAAAATGGGCTATGACGCAAGATCCTGGTCGAAATCCTGAAATCAGAATTCCATATGGCGATCAAATGGCACAAACCACGGGGAAACACCGTGAAATTCGTGAAATTTTGGGAATTTAAAAATATTGGAAATAATAAGGGAAATTTGAAAACATAATTTCACGAATTTCACGGTATTTTCCCGTACATTGAGGGTTTTTTCACGTACAAATCACGGATTTTCACGGTAAGCGTTCGCATCAATTTTTCACACATATGACACACGCACTGAAAATCACTGGTATTTTTCCCCCAACGTTGTTTGCAGTGCTGTGCACAAAAATCTGCAGCAGCAAATCATTTGATTGTTGTGGCAGGCCACAGTCGCTATATAAAGTCTAATTATCGGTTTGGAGGTGCTTCAGGTCAAGCTTCTGGAAAATAGATTCCTGGGAATCAATCAGGGTTCTGAATTTTGAAATCAAAATGCCATCTTAAGATTCCAGTGGATTGGTTTGAGACACTTTGCATTGGTTCCAGATTGAGGCCAGCTCCCATCGACCACTTGGACGGAAGTACTTGCATCCCGCCAAGTATTTGAGGACAGAAGGGATGTTCGCCTTGGATTGAAGACTTGAAGAATTTCCTCTTTCACAGGTACACTGATTCCATATATAGATCTATTAGATATACATCCAATTTTGGCAAGGCGCATCCTGCCACATATCTCCCAGGCCATCACGCCTGTCTGAATTGAGAGGCAAAAAGGTGAACTCAAATAGCTCTGCATCTCCACAGCCCTCATCCACATCGACAGGATCTCGGGGTCCAGGCAAGGGCTCCTTTCAAGGCGGGCCACGGGCCACAGGTCATGGATTTCTCAAGTACATGCATCTATACATAAAATATATGTTTATAAACATATTTATATTTATTTTTCTTTTAATCATCACATATATATATATGTATATATATTATAGTGGAACTGCTTTATATATAATATTAAATAAAACTGATATATATATATATATTGTGTAGATCGACAATGAGATATTATACAATCAATGATGACGAGTTCTTGGCATCCCAAATGGTTTTTCATATGGCCCCAGGGGTTGCCCGTAGAACCCCCACCTCCAAAGGTTTGCAAGCCATTTGTGCAATGAGATCTGCAAATTGCCGAGTGTAGGCCCTGGAAAGAACAGCAATGTAAAACATGATCTCAAAGTTGATTCAAGTGATATATATAAACTGTTCTGTTGCTTCCAGGGTGCTGGGATGATCGAAGTCGATCAGGAATTCCAACATGCCTCTTTTTGCCCGACTTGTCAATGTACTTCTTCACAAGCGGTTTGCCAGGCAGAAGTTGCATGGCCGACCTTGTCATCGTCCCACCACGTGCGACGATTTCATCGAGGAGCTTTTTGTCATTGCTCCAAAGTCGGTGTCGTTTTGCTGTGGGTCCATTGAACATGCCCATCCAAAAACTACCAGAAAAGACCTAAGAATCAATGCGATGATTTGGTTTGACATCTTTCACATCAAATGTTTTTGAGATTCACATATATAAATTCACACATGCACTGATGCACATGCATATATGTATATGTATACAGCCAAGTAGCACGGACCAGACCCAACAATTCTTGGAATCTGGGATGACTGGCCAAACTCGAGCCCTCTGGCTGCTCCACCAACCACCGTGCTTGTTTTGCACAACAGATCAATATCATCAGTACCACGCGAGAAGCCAGTAAGTTTCCCAGTTGGACAAATTTGTAACCGGTATTGCCCAAAAAACCATTCAGCACATCTCTGCCCGCTGTATGAGATGACCTGTCAGGGACAGAGAAAATCCAATTCACACACACACATATATATATACTGTATATACACATCACTAGTTTAAGTTCAATAAGTTGCAAGCCGGGCTGCATTGTGGTGAAAGAGTTGCAGCAAATACCAATCAGTACCAGGGCTCCAGGAGTGAGGTTCCAAAGCTCATTGATTGCCAACCTTAGATATATTGGCACAGCCAAATATATGGGATGCATTGAGGGAGCCAAACATATATATATATATATCAGGATGGAAACTCCAGCACTTCTAGTAACAGTTTTGCTAGCTGCATGACTGAATGCAGCCAAGGTGCGCAAAGCCGTGATCAGTGCAAAGATCCATAAGCTTGGAATAACGTAGATCATGCGATGACCCTTTCAAGTTGCATGACCACAGTGCCAGTGAAACTTGGCCTTCTCCGGCAAAGAATTCGCACCACTGCACATCCATAGGTTGAGGCACCCGCTCATTCTGGGTGAGTAATACAACCAAGAGAATGAGGCATGCCGGAGCCTTCCATTTCAGAAGCTCAAGCACCACCATGGCTCAGAAGCTGAAGCTATATAAAATGTTGTTTCAACACATATTGTTTGCGAATCAAATGATTATAAGTTGTTCTTTGTGAAACTATTTGCGATCACATGGTTCCTATGTCCAGTGCACATCAAGATGCCCCAGCTGAAGCACACTGCACAGGAAACGTAATGCTCAAAACATCAACCACCCCGCCGCTTGGATCAATTTGTCAAAAAATTGAACCACGATTTCACTAGCAAATTGCATGATGAAACCTCACCATCGAAGACAGGCACTCTTTTTTCCCCCAAGCGCAGCTGTTCTTGCACACCGCACAACTGAGTTAATTGGATTCCATGTAAATTTTCACTGCATGTAGTCATGCAGCCAACCATCATGATTGCAAATCCAGGACGCACAAAATGTACATCTATTATACATTATATATATACACATGTATATATGATGTACATGTTTTCCCACGCATGCCGTGATTAATAAAAACATCTATCTATCTAATCTAATCTAATCTAATCTAATCTAATCTAATCTAATCTAATCTAATCTATCTACCTTTTGTGCATATATGTAGGACTTTATCCAACACGATTTATGCATCCTGGTCAACATCAGCCCAGGGATTGTGGTCACAACCCTTTGGAATAAAGCGCCTCCGGCGCAACTCACTTGTGGACACACCAGCTAACATCTTGCGTTTCTGGCTAGACTGGTTCCACCTTTCATTTGCCTCTTTGGCAGAAATACCATGGTCATTTCTGACCTGATCAATGAAAGCTTTGCGGATTTTGGAATACGTATTGGCCTGGTATTCAGACCCACACTTGTTCAAGTCCATCTTGCTGACGTCAGGACGAGCCTTTTTCACCTTGTTGGTCTTCTTCTTCTTCTTGGATTGGGTAGGCTTCTTAGATTTGGAGGGTGGGTCAACCTGCAAATCCTCATCCACAGGAGCAGCATTGAAATTCTTCTTGTACTGATCAGACTGACGAAAGGGCTTCGGCACTGCCCCATCCATTTGAGATTTCAAAGTGTTCAGCACCTGAGATGGTCATTTGGTTTTCAGCAAGGGGGGAAATTTGGACTTTTAAATTTTAATCCATTTATCATTTCAAATGGGAAAAAATGAACATTTTCATCCAATGCACATGAGGTGGAAGGGTCTTATTGGCTTTCTTTGCGTCTGCGATGAAGTCAGCTGGAGTCATGACTTCTTTCTTTTGTTCACGAATCATAGCTTCTTTCATTTCATCAGCAAGTGACACCAATGACTTGTCATCATGAACTGGAACATCAGATTGATCCTCATTTTTCAGGGGAATCGACTCAGATTGATCCCCCTTGGATGCATGGCCCATGGCCGCAAGCATCTGATTTGCCAGCAACGAAAGCTTCTTGTCACGGGCCGAGGACGGATCGACTGCTGGCACCAACTGATCAGCTGGGAGACTCAGTTCCGACATGGTGTCGATTGACGATGAGACATCCCCCTCTTCATCATCGAAACCAACGTCATCAGGATGGGGTGCACTGTAGTCCTAAGATCACGTAGCCAACTGAATTACTGGAAAATGAATAGGCCTTGGGTGACACCATTTCAAATCATAAATTGCAAGTTTTGGAACTGTATAATTCATATTGCAGCTGGGTCTCCACCACCCCGGTGAGTTTCTCTTTCAAAGCCCGGGTCTTAACCAGCTTTGCACCAGCAGCTCTCTGGTGCAGTCGCCGAAAGCGGCTCACCTTGGATATCCACAGATATACGGTAGGTCAGATAGATAGATAGATAGATAGAAAGATAGATAGATAGATAGGTAGATAGATAGATAGGTAGGTAGGTAGGTAGCTAGCTAGAGAGATATAGATTCATAAATATATATGTATTGATAAGTAGCTGGATGGTGGATAGATAAACCCATAATAATGTAGATATAAATCTATTCATGGATATATGGGAACATAAATATATATATATATATGTATTACATATCTTGTAGACATATATTCAGGGACAAACCTCAAGAATTTACTGTTTTGTTTTACATATCATTCTTAGATGTGTATTTCCCAGCAATCACACTGCCCCCCATTTTTGAAACAATCAGGGCTGCCATGACTGGGAACAATATCTTAATTAAAGAAATCTGTCACCACGTTCTTTTTCTGAATGAGCTTAGTTGCAAGCCTCTGCATAGCTCTGCCATTTTTGAGCGCCCACAGTTCCACACACTCCATATCGGATGTCATTCCCCTGGGGAATAGTTTGCACTCCTCGTAGAACTTCAATATCGATGCCGATAAGATGTGAGCCGAAAACCGACCCTTTCCTCCACTGGTCACCATGACGGCTTCCACAACCTGCAGGGGCAGAATGGTGGGATTCAAACCCCATGCATGCACAACTAATCCTTTGGATAATGATTTTGTTTTGTTGGTGATTTTTTAATACCTGACCCTCATCAAGTTAAGTCTTATGCACAGATAATTCTTAAGAAAGTTGAATGGTTGATCCAGATTTTTCCCCTTGCATCCTAGCTACATTATAAACCCTGGGCCTCCGTATTGGCTTCCACATCTTTGAGACTGGGTCGATTCTTTTTGAACAGTTTCGAGCTACTGTCCAGCAAGATGCTGAAACCACGCTCTCTGAGCACAGGAAACTGTTTGAAAGCCTTTGCATAGGCTGCAACAAGACGCTTGTTCAGAGGTTTCCCCATGGCTTAAAGGATCGAAGGCAAAGCCAATGACAATATATATATTTATATGTATCTACTTTAGATAAGTCCGAAACTGAAATGAATATATAGAAAACCAATTTGCTGCTCAATGTGTGTTGGTTTATCACACATGTATCCATTCAGTAAATACCACAGGTATACCTCAGACTCCCGGGATCTAAAATTGCTACACGTACATCCAAGATCGTCCAATTGTCACTCAGCTCAAGCCAAGGCATGCAGAGGCTTGGGGGCACCTGCATCCAATTGCCACAATGAAGGCCTCAAGGACCGGCCGAAATGCACTCATGTGTTGATTGACCAGGAATGTAAAAAAAGAAAGGTAAACTCAAAGACTAGCATAAATTAAGTACTTGGCAACATATCGGCATCAACTGGGGATCCAACATAGGCACAGGAGAAATTCAGCGGTAAAGGTTCCAGGCCTGAAAAAAAATCTGACGTGATAAATTCATTGCAACTGAAAGCTTTCCATATTATAAATCACAGATAGCTCTCCAATATCTTTGGGTCCTGGCTCACTCACGCCATAAGTAGATGGGAAGCGCAGCAACTCATTCATGAGGGCTCGAAGGCCTCCTGGACATCATGCATACATATGAGCACTCAGAGATTATGTATGTGTGTGTGTTGATTGTTGGACTTGAAAACTGATTTCATTCATGTGGCTTTGTTCACCCGCACCGCACCAGACACTTTTTTCCCAATCAGATATGCTCCTGCACACTAGGGTTCATCACCCAATTTTTCATCTACATGGTGTTCCGCCACATGGTTCCCATGCGCATTGCGCAATCTGGGATCTGGGTGGTTTTTGGACAGCTCCTTGCGCACTTCCTCCAGCGTATCAATAGACTTGAAGGTGCGTACCTCCAGCAGCTTGACGCACTTCTCCTAGGATTTTGAAATAGATTGGAACTCAGAACATCTTGCTGTTCAATCCAAACGTGACTCAGAACACTTCAAAACATTGTGAGTTTCAAAAATCCAGGGCATCATAGCTGCAAACAAGCAGCAGTCATGGTCCACAGATTCTTCATTGCTATCTCCTGTTGCTTTTGGATCTTTGCTCGGTCAACTGATAGTCGACACATTTGTGCATACACTTCTCGCGCCACAAAATCGGGGTGGGCACCTGCAGACAGAAAATATTAAAATTGATCCTGATAAAGTTTTGATCTCACAGAATGGTTTGAATGATCTAATGCATATATGGTTGGAATCACCAAAATAAATTTGCAATCCAGGGACCTTCGTAGATAAGCTCGCGCTCTCTGTCAGTGATGGGCGAAGACTGGTCGACCAAAACACCTGGGTTCAATCATATTTTTGGAATGTTTTGTCAACAAAAAGAGTTAAGAAACAGTTTCGACTCCACCCCAACTGAATCTATAGTCCAAGAGATCCCAAATTGATTTGGTCCCGATCCCATTGAATTTAATCCAAGCAGCGGTCCAAATCACCGTCGAGAGGATTGTTCTCCACAAAGTCGAGCAATCGCGTTGAAGGATCGTAGCCCGGTGGCGGCAAAGTTGGTTCGGGAGGTTTAATGGTCGGTGCATGAGCAACGGCTCCTTAAGTCACAAGATCCCTCATTGGACACTTCAATGCATGTATGTATATATACATAACCATGTATATATATATATAATTCAGGTGTACCCGTATATATAAATTTGTGAGTGGACTTGAATGTTTTTGGCTTGGGATTTTGATCAAAAGATAAAAAATAATAATATGTCTATACCCCATGTTTGTTAAACCCAAATTAATTATCCTGCTTTAAAGTGCGAGAATCAACACAATACAAATCCAGGGTTCGGCTCGTACCGGGCAACGAAAATCTTCGCCTGAAAGCTTGAACATTGGTGGCGATATCTTCCTCAGGTATGCAGATGTTGCTGGCTGAAAATTGTAATGGAAAAACTTCAGTGCCTGACAGAGTTGGCATCAATGTATATGTGTGTACAACATATTTCCCCGATTAATTTTCACCAAGTTACCCGAGGACGCTTATCAGGTCTCTTCGCACATGGTTCCTGCATCTATATCAAAAATTTGAGGGCTGTCAAAAACACACACATATATATATATACTTATTTATACATACACAAAAACTCTTTCAAACCATATGATCGAATGCGGGTGGGATCCTCCTTCACTTCGGCAGAGCCAGAATGACCATCCTTTCTAGGCTTTTCACCCCCCTCCATGGCGCAGCCACGCCAGGAGCGAACTGAGTTAGGAGGGTGCTGCGGGCGGCCGGCAGAGTCACCCATGCAATCCATGTGTGATTTTGAGATTTTGCAGTTAGGTTCGTACTGGGATTTTTCCCTAGTTAGTGTTTCAAGTTTGGGTTTTTGGGTTGACTAACTTGAGAAAAACGATTTCAAGTCACATGTGTGGACTCTCAATTTGTTGACATCCCAGTTCAAAAAAAAAACTGAAACCACACATGCATGTCCTGCCTGCGACACCACACAGCGCCACCATGCACAGTGGAAATATCAGCGATATCTGAAATAGGTCAGGCTCAAAAGTTTTCACATAATATGTTTGGAAAAATGGTTGTTCCATGTTGTTCCAAGATTTTTCCTATGAAATAAGATCCACCTGTGAAAAAACGCACGAATAAAATCGCTGGAACTTGTGATGTCTCGGCCAGTTGATCACTCATGTCGCCTCGTGAAAAAAATGGCAATGAGGCCGCCCAAATTCATTAATGGTGCACGTCTGTTTGATGGTCTTGATATTGGGGTACCCAATCAAAACAATAACCCCAAAGAATGGTGCTTCACCCCAAAAATATATATGATAATATGTTTGCTTGTTCTGCGAGGGTTCACCTTTCATGTTGGTGCAATCAAACCTTGCAGCCGCGAAGAGGGTCCCAACCCAGACTGTACGTATATATATATATAAGTAATATATATATATATAGTAATATTGTATTTACAATGTATTTCTATATATGCACAGTACCTGCATGGATATATTATATGTATATTATTATATGGTTACTATATGCATATAAACAGGTGTATGTATGCATGCAGGTACTGTGAGTTTTTTTTTGCGCAGTTGAAATGCACCAAGAGCACTTCAATAGTCAGCAAAACATTTAATTACCAGACTTGGCAGCAGGTAAAGGGAAACACTGTCAATGATTACCCTCTGATAAATCAGCACTGCTATTTTTCTCGGTTTTTCACGCTCATATGGGCCATATGGTTTTTCACGCTCATTGGGCTATTCGAGCCATGTACCAGATAATCTGGTACAAATCATTCTCTAGGATTATCTCGGGAGTCGAAGAGCTTGACCTCTTTGTTGAAGGTCGCAAAGTCCATGAGCGCTCCAGAGACTCCTCCATCAGCGGGCACAACAAGTTTCAAGGCCGGTGGAAACTGCCACATGCTGGAGTCAAACTCATTGAGCGAGGAGATCAAATACTCTCGGTGTGCTCCAGCCACGGCGTGTTGCCAAGGCATGTCATCCAGCTTGATCATGCGGCTGCGGCAGTCTAGCACCAATCCAAGGGATTCCATGATTGGCCTTCTAAGCAGCATCGGGGTTTCGCCCGGCAGCAGGTACATCTGCACATAGCCATACTTGCTGCCGACGCAGAGGGGCAAACGCACAGTCCAAGTGCACTCCATGCTGGCATCACCGCCAAAGTAGAAGGTGCGCTTGCACCGCATGAACTTGACCTCGGTGATGTCGTAGTCGGTCTCCTTGAGCTTCAGCAATTAGCGCACAAAAAGGGACCATAGCCAGACAAGAAGGCACTGGCACCCAGCATGGCGCAGTCATGGCGTTCACATCCATGATCATCAGTGAAGATCAGGTGGCCATGCTCCACATCACCAACAGTGCTCTCTGTAGTTGCGCTTGGGTGCACCCCCACCAGTCTTCGGGACAGGGCAGTTGTAGGTCATGTGACCAACTTGGCCACATCAAAGGCAGGTGGGCGGATTGCCGCTGGCTTTCGCTCGCCCTTTTGGATCGGGCTCTTTTCCCTTGCCCCTGGGCGGGTACTTCACCAAAGTGGAGCTCCCCTTGCCCTGTTCTTTCTTGGTCTTGCTTTTGCCCTTGCCACGGCCCGGGGACATTGAATTGGAGACAAGGAGGATGATGGAGAAGCAGCGCCGCCACCATCAGTCAGTGCCACAATTGGCAGATACCCTCGGCTGAGCTTGATCTCATTGAAGCGCTTGCGGGCATCAATGTGGGAGGCGTAGGCCGAGTCATACTCTTCAGCCTGCTCAGCCGGGTCCGTGTCCTCCAGGGTCTGGTAGTATGCAGCATCATTTTCAAAGTCCTCATAGGTCTCATCAAAGTAGCTGTCAGCTGCTGTTGGAGAAGGGTCTTGGGAGTGGGCCTCATCTTCATAGTACCTCTCCTCACACTCATAGCTGTAGTCAAGGGCCATCCATCATCTGGTGATCGTCACCTTCATAGAATAGAAGACGGCATAGCCACGTCCCTTGCTGCGAAAACCACGGTGTTGGGGATGATGACCTCCACCAGCTACGGTCTTTTGGTCCGGCCCCAAGATGAGAAAGAGGGCTTCCTGCACGTTGTTTCGCTCCAGGTTGGGCGCTTGTGTCGTCACCAGTTGTTTCTGCTCCCGGCTCAAACCAGCTCTGCGTAGCAAGTGCCATCCTTGGACCTTTGATGGCAGCGTCACATCATGGTCGGCCAGCTTGCTGTAGAGGTGGTCGTGCTCGGTGGTGTATTCCAAGAGGCTTTTGGCAGGTCGGCGCTGAAGTCCAGTGAAGTATCTGTCGAAGTTGAAGGCACCAGTCTTCTCGATCTCCTCAATGGGGAAGTTCTCAAGTAGCTTCCATGCAGTCCCAGTGAGTTTGGCCACCCGCATCTTCATCACATAGATGTTCAGACGCCTCCTCCATTCTTTGTAGTCTGATGGCGCACCGCTGAATAGCGGGATGTAGGAGTCCTTGGTGGTAGTGGCTTCCACCCCGGCAGTACTTGCCGATCCAGTTTCATCCGACATTGCTTTAATTTGGCAGTGAAGTGGATGTAGACCAGGTAGTAGGCCAGGAAGTCGATCACCAGGCTCGCTGAGTTGCCACCACACCAGAGCTTCGCCAGGTAGAGCAGCAAGGGCCAGCACAAGGCCAGAACAGAGCAATGCAGAGAGCGAGGGCGCAATGCCAGCAAGCGAGGGCCTGCACAGGGCCAGATCAGCGAGCAGCAGCGCGGCCTGCACAGGGCCAGAACAGAATGATGCAGCAAGGCCTGCACAGGGCCAGAGAAGCGCAGCAAAAAAGAAGGTTCAGGTAGGGCTCGAGGTCGGCTCCGCTACCAATGTCAAGATCGGGTTATGGCCCTCGAAGTCCAAACCCTTTTCCAAGAAGAGTTGCCAAGCGTAGTCGCCGCTATGGCTTACAAGATCCCACCATTGTAATTGGAAACAGCAGCGGGTCAAAAGGGTGAAAGGCTAACATGTCAAGTTGCACTTCACAATAGGCTATATAGATACAAGATATAAGCTTCAATTATCCACCTAAGGTCAAATTCCCCTTTCGCATTCCCCAATTAGGACTCGGAAATCATCATCAAACCCCAGCAAAGCCATCCCCAAAGCCGTGCTGGTCACCAAGGACCGCGAAAGTAGTGCATTGTCGGGGGGTGACGCAGGGGACCTCAGGGCATTTGAAGTTTGACTCTTTGCGAATTGGGAGGTTGTTCAACGGTTGTTCCTATGTTTTCCTCTGATTTTTTCCTCTTTCTTTCCTCTTTATTTTGCATATTTTTGCATTTTGCATCTAGGTTATTGAATGTCAATCGAGTACTTCAGGACCAGCTGGGGCATTGACCACGTGCAGCATGAGAGTAATGTTAATGTTCGAGATGCTTTGAATCCAAACGCGGTAATACCTCAATGTGTTGACAATTCAAATCTAAGAAACTGAAAATCCGACAAGAGATGGTATCCATGTATTGGTTCGCGATCTTGTAAGTGAAATGTTTCAAGCGGTGTTGGATTTCTGGGCATCAAACAACCTGTGTCGGGCCACTTGCGATCAACCATTGCACCCACATTGCGGACTAACAGTTCAACTCGGTTTGCAAATCTCTGTCCCACGGGATTCGTTTTCTCGCAGGCTCTTCCGGGCGGGCGATCTGGTTCGCCGATAGGGCTTCGGCCACGGCGAATGATCCCATCGGCCACGGCATGGTGGTAAGTAGCAGAAACAGCTTCTCCCACGGCAGCAGCGGTTACTCTGGCCTTGAGGAGGAGTTCCTTGGGAGGCAAAGCACGCGGCAAAGCACGCGGCAAAGCACGCGGCAAAGCACGCGGCAAGGCGCCGTTGGCGCTGTTGGCGCCGTTGGCCAAGGCATCCCAAACAGCCCCATTCCAGGCATCCCCGGCGCCTGGTATTGGCAGCACGACGTGCCTGGATACCGTGGAAAGGAAGAAGCACCATCGCCAATCCCACTTTCGGATCAATTGAATCAATACCGCTTTCACTTGGCCTGGGAGGCAGGATTCATGGCTTCACAGCTTCACGGGCAACTTCCGCAGATCACGATTGTTAATGTGGGATGTGTTGAAAGGAATCAAAATGACATTGCATGCCTCGCCTCATTCAAAAGACACTGCGGCTCTTCATGCAAAGTATTGGCACTCGTTGCCTCTCTCTCTCTCTCTTTCTCGCTCTCTCTGCTTTTCCCTTTTTCTCTATTGAATTCTATGGCATCTACAATAACCCTTGGGGAATTTTGCACATTCGGGCTGATGTGCATTGCTGATCCATGACTTCATGTATGACTTGCTTTCCCATCAATTTTTCCCGTTGGCTACATAGGTGTTATTGTCTGGGGAGATGAATGCATTGTCAGTGACGGAATACCAATCCAATTTGGAGGCATCTGCAGAATTTCAACCACCACAACAAGCGCTGCCCAGGCGCGAAAGGATTTCATGCCTCAAACAAACATCCGTGGATCCGTGGATTCGTAGCCGGACTAAGGCAAGAAAATCCCAGTCTTGGACCCTACCAAAGGCGTGTGCTGCTGGTCTTGCAACCTTTAAAGCTTCCACTGGCTTCACGATTCAAGACTCACATTGAGGGTGTTCAGATGACCTAGTAGACTTAGAAGATCTAGTAGCCAGGACATGCCAGGACCTAGTATACGTTTCAATACATTTGAAATGCCGGGGAGGCGATCAAATTCTCCCTGCCAGGCTTGTCTTTGATTTGTAGTGCGACGTGAGATGTTCTGAGATGTTCTGAGATGTGCTGAGTACTCCAAAGAAAGAACCTTAAAGAAAAAGCAACAAAAATGTTCTTTATATTGATCGTATTGCAACCGCTGCAACCACGTATTTTTTTGTATTGCACGGCCAGCAATTTGCTCTCACAGCAACTTGCTCTGCCTGCGAGATTCCATTAGTCTTCATGTCAACATGTCACCAGGGAATTGCTCTCTGCGCCAACTGCGCTTGGAGCAGTGCCCAGATGTGACCAGAATTTCTGTCTAGCTCTATGCCAGAATTTTCCACGTGCCCATCCACAAGGCTACCGTGCAGGAACTAACGGCATTGGAAAATACACATCACCCCAGCTATATAAAGTTATATATGTCCATTTTACAGTGTTTTTGCAGTTGTTCCCGCTACGAATTGGGTTTTTCCTTTGCATGTTTGATTCCCGAAGGGTAGCCATCAATTCAGGAACACTTGTGCCACAATGCAGGGCCGTGCAATGGTCACGTGGCTGGTATCTAGACAAGCTGGAAACTCGCTTTAAGCCGGTTTTGTGCCACAAGCGTATTTCTGGTGCCAATTTGGCCGCGTTTTACTTTGCTCCAGTTACACTGCCATAGATTCACATTGGAGCGTTCCTTGCCATTCTGACTGTTCAAGACACCCTTGCTGCGCTGCAGCTGCCTTTTGCTGGAAAAGTCGTTCAGGTGCAATCACTATCTAGCAATTGTGCTGCATGTGATGAATCTAAGTGAAGATTCTTGCTCTCTCTCTCTCTCTCTCTCTCCCTCCCTCCCTCTCGCTCGCTCGCTCTCTCTCTCTCTCTCTCTCTCTCTCTCGCTGTGTCTGTGTTTCCTTCTCCTACACATTCACACGCGCTCGTATGTGCTGCTAAGTCTGTGCAAAGCAATTTGAAGAGATGTACATGTGCGAGTGGCATTTGTTCAGGATGAAAGGGTGACTCCCCAACATCAATCTATGGCTGAGGCGATTTGCGACAAGACGTCCCCAAAGTATATCATTCCTTGCGGCCTGAACCACTAGACAAGTCCGCCAGAATTTGATTTCGTAATTAGCATAGTTTTTAAACATCTTAGATTCACAGCCACCAATAACACAGCTCTGAGATGCTCTGAGTGTCGACCCTCCTGGGAAAAGCTGGGAATCGCAGTGGCTCCAGGCTTTGAAAGACCTTCAAGTCTACGAATGGACAGTCTGTAGCCCTAAGTCATCCTGAGTCATGTTTTGAAGGTTTTTTCGAAAAGTCGTTTCCATTTGTTGCCGGTGTGAGGCAACAGGAAAGGCGCTGACCAAAAAGGCGCAGAGCACTCCACCGCAGAGCACTCAGGGATGCCTTGGATGCCTTCAAAACGATTTGGGCAGGCCAGAGACCTGCCTCCCCTGACCATCTAGCATGTTTCACCTCTATAGAAATTAGAGAATGAAGTTGAATGAAGTTGAATGAAGATGAATGAAGTGTGATTTGTATATTTTGTATTGATTTGTGGTATTTTCTGCTAAAATGGACTTTTCTGAATTCTGGATGCCAGAAAAAACAAGGACAAGCAGTGCCCGTCAGTGCCCGTCCGAAGGACCGGCACTGTCCGCCATGAGATGGGCAGACATTCCACCGAACAAGCCAACAAGCCGAGTATCCATAAAAGTCAGCATAATGACATATATAATAATGACATAATAATGACATACTAATGACATAATAATGACATAATAATGACACAATGAATTCAGAATGGTTTAAACATGTTTGTTTATAAGATGTTTAAACTTTAAACATGTTTTAACGAAATAAGATGAAATAACGGTTTTCAACAATGTTTAAACGGTTTGACCGTATGATTCTTTTAGCCTCACTCTTCATTTCTGCAGCTTAGTCCTGCAAGTCGAGAACTTGGACGTCAGCCCATCGTATCAGTCTCACAACAAGTGACGACTTCGTGAAAGGTGACCGAAAGGTGATATGTCTGATATGTGATGACTTTTCCATGACATGAGGCTGTTGGACTCAGAGGACCATGGTTGCAGAACATGTTGGTCTTGAGATGCTCTGCTGATTTGCACACATTGGTGTTTCCGAGTTAATTGCCCGACTGTGTCGTCAATGCATTAATAGAAATTAATAGGCACAACATTCCCAAGGCCACATTTCAGCCTTTGTATCCCCAATCCCTCTTTCAGTTCTAGACACGTGACAGGCACAAAGGATGACGAAATTTATGAAATTATTCATTCAAGATCGTGGCACAGACCAAATCACTATTGGATCCCGCGTTGTGGCTACAATGGATGGCCAGGCACGAAGTGTTTTGGAATGTTTGACACCTCTGTCGTCTTTTGACATTTGCTTTTCTTTGGCTCTGCATGGCTCTGCACGGCTCTGCATGGCTTTGGCAGCTGTGCTGAATTTAAGCGTCCCTATTTATTTCTCGAGCTGTTGCGGGCGTCCTGCGGTATGCTGTTTGTTGATCATGAGCGCGACGACTCCTTTGAATCGCAGAACAACGATACCGGAGACAATGCATTTTCCCGTTATGGGCAGGTCATTCAACGTCCAGAAGGATCGCTGAACATCTGGTCGGAGCCAAAGTTGCAAGTTCCAACGGCATGTTGTAGCACGAAGATAGGATTCCCACAGTGACCACCAGCGCCTTGCACAAGAACGACGGATCACATGGATTGGTTTCGGTCACCCTTCGGCCTCAGGGCTATCGGCCAGGGCTTTGAAGGATCAGCTTCTGATTGGACAGAGTATCTGCGCTCAAATCTGTTTGCAAAGGCGAGAAGGTCAAGCTTAGTGTTATCCGATAAGGACATTGACATGTAGGTGGGAGTTACATTGCAAAGCTGCCGTGTGAAGCATGTGTGAATATTCAAAGTGACGCGTAAAGATATTTGAATAAATAAATATATAAATAGATAGATAAATATATATATATATAATATATATATAATATATATATATATATTATATTATATTATTATATTATATTATATGTTTGCCCTGGAAACTTGCAGTTGTTGAGTGCAGCCAAAGGTATGTGGTTTGGCTTGTGGGTTTCTTTGCGCTCATCTGGAGTCTCGGTTCAACAATGACTCAGAGACCTTTCTTTGCTCCGTTTGGACACTTTTGGACACTTTGCAGCTGACAATCAGAGGTTCATCTGGCAGAGGAACGCTTCGCCCCCAACTGCAATTCTCCAGCATTCCGAACAGCTTGCCAAAAGCCCAAAAACCCCATAAACCTCTGGTTGAGGTTATGGCTTTGCCAGACTCAGACTTTCCAGAGGCCAGGTTTGCTGCTTCCACAGTAGCCATCATGTGTTCATGAGCCGGAGGATGGTGAGGCAGAGACAAAGCCGCAGCCGAATGATTCGAAGGAGCCGAAGGAGAAAGGTTCGACCAAAAAGAAGAGATGAGACAGCGGCTTGGAAGCAACACAGGGATCATCAGGGATCAGAGAAGCAAGCGACAGAGATTGAACAATTTGACCCTGTAGGATGGCTTGCAAATCTCCCAAGAATGCCTAGTTTTGCCCCCAGCACGTATGAACTCAAAGAAGGCAGCCAGTGATGTAGATTTCTCGGTGATAATAGGTGATATTCACATGTATTCACGATATTTCCCATGGAAATTGTGGAGAAGCTCTGGCTCTTCGATCCGCCGTGATGACTTGTGAGACTGAAACTCCGTAGCTTGGTAGCCTTGGAAGGCGCTGACGAAGAAGTTGGGAAGCTGTTTTACGTTTACCGGTAGAGTCTCAAAGAAGTGTGGATTACCAAAGTGTAGATTCACCTATCCAGGCTCAAGCACACAGACGTACAGACTGTCCGCGTGGAAAGATGCTGCAAGCCCACGTTTCTTTGGTCTTGTAGGGTATTGATCCACCGCGCATGTCCAAAAAATGTCTAGCCAGATGTCTAGCAGGAGTTTGGAAGCAACGTTTGCTGTCTTCAAAATCAAAGTTGTGCAGCTGTCTCGGCCAAAGAGTGCAGAAAGGTTTGTTTGATCGAAGGCCACTTTCAGCCCAGAATCCAAAGCATCATGTAACTTATGTGGCTATTGAATGCAGTTGATCAGGGCATTCGCACCAAGTCCGTCTTTGGAGCTGTGCTGTTCTTGATATTTGACAATATTTTTTGATTCTGTTTGCAGATGTTCTTGCAGATGTTTTTGCAGATGTTTGTAGTCTGTTAATGTTGGTTCCTGATTAGTGTGTGCCCCCCCTAAACTATATCTGGACTCTCTTTAAAGTAGAAAGTCAAAAATTTTCTTCCCAAAAGAAAAACATATCCTCAATTAAGTAAGGATTTCAATTGGCTACAATTGAAATCTAATTACTATTGTTTTTTTTGCCGATGAAGTTGTGGTATTTGTAGTACTTGTAGTACTTGTAGTACTTAGTACTTGTAGTACTTGTAGTACGTGTAGTACTTGTAGTACTTGTAGTACTTGTAGTACTTGTAGTACTGTTGTAGTACTTGTAGTACTTGTAGTACTTGTAGTACTTGTAGTGTACTTGTAGTACTTGTAGTACTTGTAGTACTTGTAGTACTTGTAGTACTTGTAGTACTTGTAGTACTTGTAGTACTTGTAGGAAATGGCTTGCTTCCTTCTGGGCTTCCAGGGGCTGCTCTGGCACAGCTTGCTGCAATAGTGAACTCAGCAAACAAACCTACTAAAGTGAAATGGAGCCTCTCCTGGTCCAGGGCCTTGGAAAATTGTGGAAAAGCTGTTCTTTAATAAGGGTTTAATAAGGGATTGGTTCTTTTGGGAAAGGCTTGGAGTTTGAATTTGGCAATTTTGGAAAAGACTTGTTTCCCTTCTGGGCTTCCAGGGGCTGCTCTGGCACAGCTTGCTGCAATAGTGAACCCAGCAAACAAACCTACTCAGATAGAGATGCATTTACAGGCTCAGATAGAGAGATGAGCAAAAACTTGACTGAGCTACAGCGTTTTTGAGAAAAAAATTGCCTCTCAGCAATTACAGTTTTTTTTCAAAAAAAAAAGGGCTCTCCCAATTTTGTTTTGCCACAAAAGCGAACCCTCCGAACAATACATGAGTTTCAGAATAATTTGCAAAAAATTGCCACAACCGCGACCCTAGCTACTAATCAGGAGCTAACATTACACAGTCTGCTTCGTATTTGATGGCGACGCCTGCTCCAGCCTGCATGTCGAATGGGGCGGCACGGCGTTGAAGGTCGATACGCAAAACTCCCAAGAGCCGTGGAGTCACTTGATGGTTGCGCTGTAGGCCCCCGAGCCGCTCGAGCCAGGAAACGTTTGTGTCTCAGGGGCACTGGATGTATTGTACGTGTGACAAATCATGTCGATTCTACATTGGACCATGATGGAACATGATTCTTCATGTGACATTCAGATATTCCTTAGGCAGATGGAGAACCTCGTCCAGGCTGCTCCGGTTGAGACCATTGGTCCTTTAGATTTGCAGCAAGCTTCCCTGATCCGTTTGAAACCGTTTGTCATCAGGATGGTCAAGCATTCTCTCGAACTGCACAGTCCCTCGGTAATGTGGAGAAGGAGTGCCCTCGCAAGTTTGTGGCTACTCTCCGCCCTGCTCCGCTCTGCTCTGCTCATCAGTGACAGCGACCAATTGCAGGAAGACCTAGATTGAATATGTTTGAATACTTGGAATGGACTGTGTGTCGGGCATTTTGATACATTTGATGCTTCTTGTCTGCAGGTACTACACTGTCCTCTGGCAATCAGCATGTGTTCAGGGAGACATTCTCCGAGGGAAGGCGCATGTTGATCAACAGATTCTGAAGAAAACAATGCAAGCTGAACTGATCAGAACTGGTCAGAACCGAACAGAACTGAACAGAACTGAACAGAATCAATCACGTGGGCGAGTGTTGAACAAGTGTTGGTCGAACGGGAGAGGCAGCCTTTGACTTTCTCTCCAAGTCACAGCTGCCGCGTGAGGCAGGTATCTCGAGACCATCCAACTTGTTCGCTGCCATAGAAGTATGAACATATGACATTATTTGACATGATTTGACATGATTTGACATTGCACGACTTGCTCCTTTGTGGCTCTATCACTGCACGCCAGATCCTGAAGCGAATTTGGGACATCGCGGACTGGCAGAAGCGAGGGCTGGCTTGGGAGGAATTTGTCGTGACCCTGAAGCTCATCTCAGCTGCGCAGAAGAAGTGTTAGCCTTATTGTCAGCTGTGTGCTCGTTCCATCCAGATATCATATTAATTAAAGTTATGCAAGGTTTTCTTCAGTCTGCATATTCAACAAGGTAGCTATGGGTAGCCATGGGTAGCTGCTAGTTACTATTTCATATCTGGTCTTTGTGTGCGAACTGTCCAAGTGCGCTCTCAGCACTGACGCTATCACAGCGTCAAATATGAAACAATTGACCATGAAAACTTTGCATTCCAAAAACGTTCAAAAAACCTTTCCTTTACACCTTACACTTTGTTTCACTCATCCACTCGTGCTTAAGCACCAGCATGAGTAATCTGCATTCTATCATATTCTTTCAAACTTTTTCTTTTTCGCTCCATGCTGGTCAGATCACCTGTTGACCTTCAGGCAACTGGTGTCGTTGGAACGAGTGCTAGAGACATCAGGGCCGACTTCGAAGGACCGGGGTGTGAATGCTGATTGGTTTCAGATGAATATCAAAGAGATTTGTTCAGCTCCTTTGTAAGATGTGAGTCATTGTCATGTGCTGAGCTCTCAGATGCTCATAGAACGTCACAAATTGAAGCATCTCCAGAGCCAGAAGTGGAGGAACCAAAGTGTAGCTGCATATGTTAAGAATAATAACCAAATAACAATTTAAACTCTCTGGGCATCATTCCAACACATCACTGCTGCTTGCAACCTGGAAGATCTTCTTTGTGCTTGTACAGCGCGGCCAGGTGAACAACACTCCGCCCATTCAACCATCCCCCTCAGCAGAAGTTGACAAGGACCGTGGATCATTTAGATCCATGTGCCTGGTGAGTCAAGAATGAATGATGATGATGACGATGATGCCGATGATACACCCATACAACGATCATAAATTATAGATTAAATCATAAATCACAATCATATTCATTATCATACTCGTGACACATCATAGCCATGATGAGGACATTGATGAATTGTTTACAAGACACCAGATCAAGTTTGGTTTCAGCGATGGTTTTCCTCTGTATCAGCTGTTCAGGAATCCAAGTGGAGCCTTCTCTACGGGGATGCTGATCAACCTGGCGATCTGATGTGGTTGGCAGCCCGGCAGCCAAACAGCGCGGCGCAGCGCTGCTCTAGCATGCCGTAGGGGAAATATTATCAAAATAATAGGTAAATCTTCGAACTTTTAAAATGGGCCATGGTTTCCATAGCTCTGCAACAAATTACTAGAGAGTATATGCCAGTAAATACCCATCAAACACAACTTGAAAGAAATACATTAACTGCATTAACTCATCATTTTGGATGGTTTTTTGGGATGTCCCATTTGTTTCAACTTTTGATGCTGAACAAAACTCAGGTCTTGAGTTGTCAAAAGGAAAGCTGCTTGCTGCAGATGGATGGTTTCTACACGGTCACTATCCGGTGCCGCGGTGGGCGAATGGCCCATGGGGTATGCCATGCAGTATGGCACGGTGTGTCAAGAAGATGTTCAGGGCTTTCCATAGATTTACATATTATATATATATATATACTCATGCATCATCATAGATCATAAAGTAATGTTTCATACGTCATGTATAGATATACACTGATAATACTATTCTATGTGTATATGATATTACATCAATGATGAATCTATGTATACATGGGTTTTGTTAGTGTCTATCTACATCACTCTGGTTGGGTGAACTATGCTTTAGATACAGAGGTACAGCAGTCAATTCACAGTCAATCCGATTCAAAGGGTTTCATGGTGATTGGGTCATTACATCTTGCTGGTTTCTGCCTCTGTTCTTCCTTTGCGATCGCAGTCAATGTTGTATTGGTATCATACTATTGTTTTCATCTGTTTTCGATCTAATGTGATAATAAATCCGGTGCCCTATTTGTCGCTGGCTTTCTTTGCCGCCAAAAACTGCCACCCACTAAGCACATGATCCAAGGGCTCTAGGACAAGAACCCATCTGAGTGCGGGTAGGACACCATGAGCTATGCCGCACTATGCCGATTAGTCTCACTATGCCGAGGCTACGAATTTTTGGGATTTTCACAGTAGTAAATGTACCAAGTGAAAAGGGAATCCAGTGGGAAAAATTAATGTTTGGGTCCCCAAAGAACACAAATCCAAGGTGAAGCACATACTTTGGGGGTGGCCATTCTGCAGGAGGAATCTGTCGAGCCTTGTGCAGTAGCTTGACTTGAGCGCCCAAAAACATTGGGTAGTGGCAGCTGGAAATGGCAGAGCCCGTTTCGGACAATCAGTCCAGGGACGCACTGTATGATTCGGGTGAGTCGCTAATAAAAATCGCGATGATAGGGACAATGACAGTTGGTCGGACGGTGTCAATCTTTGCAGACACATGTGCAGCGTTTAAAAGCCTTGGTGGTGGATTTTTTGTATCATTTGCAAACGCATTTTTTAACCAAATGTGACTCTCAATTGGAGTATGGAGTCATGTGAATCGTAACAGTTGTGGGATGTGGGCACTGAAAAAAAGTAATGCTTGTTTGCTTGCTTGGCTTTTCGTCTTTTCAAGGAACAAGCAGAAGCTTGTCAGTATGAAGTGAATTAGTTATTGTGGTCCGTGCGCCGATTATTGTTTACTATTGTATACTTGTTTTTCGACTTCAGGTTTTTGCAATCTACGAAGTCATGTGTTGTGCCTCAGTTTAAATCTAAGATGACCAGTATTCAAACGAAAGGTCGGAGGCGTCAAATGTGAGAATTATGTTCAGCGCATGTAGAAAAAAAGAAGACAACCTGATGCGACGACTAAGGGTTAAGATATCAAATTGAAGAACTTGACACTCCCAGATGCCAGACAAAGGGCTCTGATCAACCCTATCGGATTGAGATGGCTCGAGCTTACCGTGCACGTGCTGTTCTGCACCGACGAGCCGAAGCAGCATTTGCGTGAGAAGCTCCTGTTGCCGCCTGTATGGACATAGTCATCTGAGAGCTTGCCGGCGATTTCTTTTCCTTCTTCCTCCCTACATAAAGTGCGGGAGACAGTCACGGTGCCGCCCAGTGCTGGTGCCTTCCAATCCTTAGGGCTGCCTCCTCGAGGTCAGCTGCTTTTGCTACTTTTCCACACCCCTCTTTTTGCCGTTTGGGGTTGTGGGGCCTGCTAAATTGCGGCCAGCCCCAATTCTTTGCCACTCAATGACATTATTGGTGGCTAATTGTCGATCCCTCAAGAGTGAGGATCGTTTTCCCAGAAGGGGCACTGTTTGTTGGACGACATCACCATGTTGGCACTGAATTGGCCAGTCTGTGATATTTCCCCAAATTTGCCGCGGACCTTAGTTTTTAGTATGTGGGGTACGGTTAGTAAAGGGAGGTAGGGATTACTTAACCTGTTGTCCTCCACCAGTATGAAACAATGGTACCATATTATCAGATACATGAATCTCCTTCGTCAATTGCAGAAAACAGAGAACATTGGAAGCTTCTTACTACTAAAGTGAAACAAGCAACCAGCTTAGGGATCGCTGCTGCGGACGTATGGTTAACTTTGAAGTGCATATCGCCTGTGAAAAAATGCGTTTATACATACCACTAGAGTCATTCTGGTGCCTATATAATCATCCACCATGCAAAATTAATCTGAGGTGGTAGTAGGTGTGGGGAATAATTTTACCAGAATGATTTTTCCCAAAGGTAATGTAAGTGAGAACAATACATAAAATCAGAATGATTTTTCACATGGCTCGTGAGTGACAGTTGCACTTGTCGCGGAATAATTTTGTCGTTGTTGCTTCCATGATAGCGCGTCCGACCGCAGATTTTGCACGTCCAATTTTACATTGCCTTTTCCATTTGATCATTTGGTCTGCCAATGGCCTTTGCAACGCCACCTGCTGTCTATCCACAAGAATGCGGAATCAATGGAATGAATATATAATAGATGCAAATAGTTACTATAGTTTCAAACAATCACAAGCAGGTACCTACTTTGAAATAAGCATCATATGCAGTATACAATCATGATCAAGCTGCTGCTACTGCTGCTGGCTTCAAAAAAACTCTCTGCCCTGACCCGCTCCCCCTTGCCGTCGGCCGGGGTCGGCGGATATCTCGATATAAAATGCCGAAATTAAGATGAATTAAGACATTTTGGGCAGCCGATGTGTGCATTCTGTGTCCATTTGCGTCCCTCCCATTTATGCCATTTGATGCCATTTTATGCCCCAAAGTTCGGCGCAATTCCTCAAGTGAATTGCATCTGCCTGGTTTCTGCAAGGAGGAGCTTGATTTTATCTTGGGTGCGGCTTCAGTCAGCCTTTAGACCACGTGGGGAACAGAGACGACATGCAGACTCTTGGCTACAGAGAAGGAGCCGGGCTTGAAGCCTCACCGGCACCCTCATGAAGATGATAAAGAAGGATGAGGAATGATGAAGAATGATGAATAGAATGGGCATGGCGAGCAGAAACAGAATCATCAGAATCGCTCCGACTCCCAGTTGGCCAGCCAAGGTTCTGTGGCTGAAGGATCACTTTGAAACCTCAACGGAGTCAACAGGAGCATTGAACCTTCTGACCTGGTGATATGATGAGATTTTTATTCTGAAAGACTATGAAGAGTTGTAAACACTCTGTGGCTACGCAGGGCCCATGAAGTCAAGAGATGAATCATTGCATGATAGCATCACACATTTCAGTTACTATCATAGTCTTATTCCTTCCCTCTCCCTCTCCCCTCTCCTCTCTCCTCTCTCCTCTCTCTTTCTCTCTCTCTTTCTCTCTCTCTCTTTCTCTCTTTCTCTCTCTCTTTCTCTCTCTCTCTCTCTTTCTCTCTCTCTCTCTCTCTCTTTCTCTCTTTCTCTCTCTCTCTCTCTTTCTCTC